AGCAAACTGGCATGTAATCCTTGACTTCACTCAATACAACCAGCTGAAGGGCAGCTCTGGAAAGACGAAGCACAGAATTAAACGTAATGAATTGACTAGAAAATCAGCGACCATGCACCATATTGCAACACTGAGATTCATTTCAGGCAGTCCATTACACATACACTTCCCAACCAGAAAAGACCTCGAAAAGGATGAAATCAGACCAACAACTTCTGAATCTCTGGACAGAGGAAGTGACTGCAGAATATAAAACAGAAAAACGTTTTACCCCCAAATCTCTGCCTAGGATGTGCAAGGACAAAAACAACAAGGTGTTGGAAACATGACTTGCAGCTATCACCTTCAACTCCTTCATTAAGTCCCCTACTAGCCCCCCGCCCCACAAATAACAGAGATGTCAGTCAAGCATCTTGCGGCTCCAACTGCTCACACCCCTCCCTGTAACACTCCAAATGTTGCGCTCTAGAAGTCCAGATGGAGTCCACCTCCAGTAGACAGCGGAAGAAGATAGGACACGGCATTCACAAATGCACAGAGAACTGTTTAATTTACAGCCACAATGGTGAAACAAACCATTTCAGAGCTTGGACATTCAAAGTTAAGTCTGACACTCATTCTTATATTCACTTATTGTGCTTAAGTATTAGAGAACACAGGATTACATTAACAGTACACGACAATCTGAGATCCCTGCAGGACCGAGTAGTGAAAGGGATGAGCAAGAATGAGGGACCAGCCCCTCAAGTGGTGTAAGCTGGTACGGCTCCATTGCAGGCAATGGAGTGATGGTGATTTACACCAGCTGAGGATATGGCCCTTGAAATGTCCAACTTAACTTTGAATTAATGTCTCCCGTGTCACAACCTTTAATGTTACTGTTCCTTCTGGTTGTATCTGCCACCTTGAAGAAGGAGGACTAATACCATAGCCTGTGATGTTGGGAAGGCTGGTGGGTAGTACCTCAGCTGGACCATGGCAAATGACACCTACGTCATGACACTACTCCTCGTATTTTAAAAACCGTGGACTGGATCCTCATCTGATGTAAATTAGCTTAGGGGCGGCTGAAGTCAAAAATATTTGCCAATTTATACTAGCTGAGAATATAGCCCTGAGATTTTTGTGTTTTCTGCTGCATGCCGTGTAAACACTGTGCTTGAGAACAAAGACTCATGTGCGTTTCATTCCTGGTTACAAAATTAACTTGAGACTACAAGTCTCAAACAAACAACTACTGGAAAAGACTCCGTTCAGTCTTCATTCTCTCCTGGTTTTCTGAATTTGGCATAATACATTTATTTGCTGGCACCAATAAAATGCATGCCTCTCAGTTTGCTTTCTTTTTTCAAGACTTTAATATAGGGCCAGACTCACTCGTGATGTAAATCAGCAGAGCTCCATCCTACTCAATGGAGTTACTCCAGGGAAGCTGGCCCACAGACCTGAATGCAACCTTCTTATGCCAGTGCAACCACAGGACTCTCAAAAAGCTGTTTTGCAAATTATTCCACTTAAGTGACTTTGACATCCTTTCATACCTGCACAGTGTCTGAGTGGGTCACATAATGCTTGTCATCTACATGATTTTAATGGATATATGGTTGGTTTTTTTCATTAGATATCTTTTAGACAAAAAAGGAACGGAGCAACATTATTGGCATCCCACTGAAACATAAATATATAAATTACATTTTATACACTTTTTTAAACGCAGACACATACATTCATGTGCATAACATTGTGAACAGTACACTTAGTGGAAAACAAGCACAGACAATCTTAGTTAAATGTATTTCCAGTTTTGGTGCTCAACAAATACACTGGGAAAATGATCACAAAATAGAACGGTGACTAACTCTATCTCTGCATTAGCATCTGAAGCCAATAATGCCTGTTAGCTAACATTGCTTTGTTTGGTTGAAATTGGACATAGCTACAGGAACAGGAGGGGAATGTTTGAACTATATTTAAAGAAATGGAAGGTTAAAAATCTCTCTCTCTTTTGTTGTTTTAAGGTTCTGCAGTTCATTCACATTGGAAGAGATTTTTTTATTTGAGTGGAAACGCTGTCTTCAAGAGCAACTTTTTTGCCATTCCAAACTAAGAAAACTCTTTCATCTCTTTGTAGATGTTTCACAAATAAAAGAATCCAGTAGCTCGTTTTACGTATCCAGTGTGATAATCCAACTAAAACAAAGGGTACATAATCCAAACTACTGGGGTGGGGCAGTGATTTTGGCCAAGTGAGTAGCCATGTCATACCTGGCACAGCCCTGAATTTCCAAAGCGGTACAGAAGGATTTGGCCATGTGGCTCCCACTGCAATCCATGGGGAACTGAACATTTAATCCTTTGGCACTTTGAAAAGACAGGAGCTGGTGCCAGAGTATTTTATCTGCCCTGCTATAGTTAAAATAGATTTTGATGTTATTTGGGCTATTCTACTACAAAAATATGACCACAAAATGCTTTTTTTTTTCTTTTTTCTTATTTTTTTTTGGTTCAAGAAAACATAGCAGGCTTTCTCAGGTATATAAAACTGTTAATTTTTAGATAAAAATACAAACTTCACCTTTACAAAAACACATATTTCTGTTGAATACACATAAAGCATAACATTTTACCAAAAATAAAGAATTTTAGGTTTTGTTCAAATATTTGCAGCAAGGTAGTTCCCATGCCACCATGACATTGTACAATGCAGATACAAGAATTTGTACATTTCACACAGCTCCAACATGTGAAATAAAAGTATCTGTATACTGATAAGAATGACAATTGCTAACACAATATCACTAGTAGGCAACTGGCATAAGTCTCAAAGGAAAAAAAAAAAAAAAGGATTTTTGCATGGATATCCTATGATTTGTTTACGCACATCTCTTTTTTTCTCTTTTTTTTCTTTTTATGTAATGCTTTAAATTACGGGGGAGGTTGGGGAACATAAACCAAGAAACGTCTAGAAAATTATGCATAGGTATACCATTTTTATTTTAATACATCTCATTAGTTTGCATCCCACTAGGAGAAATACCATAATGTTTTGTGTTCTGCTTATTGTTATACCAGTCTTTTATATGTGTTATTGGCAAATGTAGTCCAAGAGATAATAAAAAGCTAGGCAAAGAGTAAAAAGAAAACTTAATAATCACTTTATGGTGTAAAAAAAAAAAAAATCCACTTAAGGCTCCCCAGAAGGTTTTTTTGTGTAGACTTTTAAAACACCACCAAGCAAGGATGTATTGTTCTATAGTGTTTGCGTGGCATTTGATCATTTCATACATTCCTTTTTTTTTTGTGCCTGAAGTCCATCAGTGTCCATCCATCTTCATCAAGAACGCAGGCACATTTCTTGACGTAAAGCACCGTTGACTGCTCTGACAGAAATCCACTATTCACTTAGATTTTTGTCATGTTTTTGAGTACTTTTGGTATCCTCCATTCATTCAACTGTCTTTTTTTCTTTTCTGTTTTTCTTTCTTTCTCTTTTTTCTTTTTTGGACAGGGAAGCTTCCTATTGTTTCACAGAGTGCTACAATACTTGCTTTGATGTCACATTAAACAAATGTACATTGTCTCTTTGTTCTCATTAAGTGTTCTTTTGAGCCAGTTTTTTCACATAGGAGAACAAATAAAGTATACAGTCAATAAGCACCATACATAGTAGGTTCAGGAATGTAACAAACCATGTACATCCATGTCCCAGAGAGAAGTTTTTTTTCTAGCTTATTTTCACCTTACATCTGCAGGAGAGAAAAAAGATACAATAACTCTATGATTAGAATCAAAGGTCCTATCCTCTAAGCAGATGACTTAAAAAAAAAAGAAAACTGTTCTGCATGAAGTCACTAACCTGGGACAAGAAGTTCTAAATGCTGTTTTGATTGAGTTTACATGCTCACTTTTAAAGTCGAATTTTAGAAAATCTTTGCTTCTATCATACTACTCCCAATAAATACCTGTTAATCTGAAACAGGATATCAAGTTTAGCATTCTTTAGAAACGATACATCAGTATAAATGAAAACTGCCATTGGGAGTTTATGTGCAAAAATAGGTGCTTGAAATTAAATTCACCATCATCCAGGCGTTAGGCACATACACTGCAAAATCCAAATCATTCCCATTCCAAATAGTAGAATCAATTGCAAGTGCTGCAGTTTACATAATTTCAAGTCATTAAAAAATGGAAATTCCATATTTAATTTGGAATGTGTATTGCCATCATCAGACATTGCTAATATGCTGGCCAAAGGATTTCAGTCATTTTTGCATTGAGAGGGTGTTAGTTTTTCACTACGCTGAAAATCCTCATGATTTTTGATGACTGATTGTCATCATCCTACTGAGACTAAACAGACAACAAGAAAAAAAGATCTTAATTTTCTGGTGTAAGTAACACAGGGCCCTGCAACACAAAAACATGGTATTTCTAAGCATCTTCCTTGTCAGGTAGGCAGATCACCAGACTGTCTCAGATGCATGTACAACCAATCCCAGTTCATGCCCAAACATGGGGTTGATGGTCATGCATAGAATAGTACTTGCTGTATGTACATAATGTTTTACAGCCAATGACTGGGAACACAAGAATTTGTAACCTGGTAATTCATTCATGCATTATTATGTGATGCTTTGACCTCAGAAATCAATAATAATGAAACAAAAGCAGAGGCAATGGAACTTGAGATTTCAGAAGCTGAAGTATTAGCACCCTCCAAAAAAAAAAAAAAAAGAAACAAAAAAGGCAAGAAAAGGAAGTAGCTCAAGAATGTAAGATGCTGATGGTGATGTGGAGCTTAAAGGAAAAATACCAGCAGGTAGAATTATCAAAGCCAATCAAATCTAATCTCTTTGCAGCCTTGAGGTAGCAAGTGTCAAGATTTTGAACAGTGATTAAGTTGAAGTGATGATATTTGATTAAGTTTTCCAGTACTTGTGCTATTAGGGTGTTCAGCATATAGTTCCTACCTGAATATCAAATAGTTCCAGTAGGTTTTATGTTGGTTTTAACTTTTTTCGTTTCCGTTTTTTACCTGATTCCCTAGGCCTTCCTGTTAACATAAGGGCAGGGCTGGTAAAAAGCCCTAAGGTAATGCATTGCGTTGAACACTGAAGTAATAAATACTCAAACCGTTTACATTTCAAAAAAATCTCATTATCCTTTGCATTAAAGTAATAACTTTATAGCATCTGATTTGACATTCCGTTTACAAAGTAATTATACAAAAGTAGAGAAATAATAAACGAAGTTGGCATTGCGTACGTCATTTCCAAGATCCATCTATAATTACTGTTACCATGCAGTATTCAACATTTGCTTTCAGCTCTGTAGTTAAGCTATTTTCAGCTCATCATCCACTTGCTGGTACAAGTTTTGTTCCTATCAGTAATTAAATCCTAGAAATCTATATTCTTCCATGACAATTCCACCCCATTTTTCACACACACCAGAAAGAAGTTTTCATCTTAAAATCTTAACAGCTTAGTTTTTGGCAATTAAAGACATTTTGGAAAACTGAAATTGATCTAATGAAACTTTTTTTCCAAATAGAAGACACAGAAAAAATATCAAACCATACACACATAAAAAGGACCATTTTAAATGTGGTTTTGTCTACTCATAACTCAACCTAGTTTCAGCTAAAACACTCAGCTCAGATTATAAATTGATGTCCAATAAAATCACAGCAGAGGCCTAACTTTGCTTTTATACAAATTCTAATTCTTCTGCTCTGTACATAGCAACTGAAGTTTACATTCACTTAGACCAGATTTATATCTCCATGCTGGATGGAGACAGTACAGAAAACCCTTCCTTACCCCATCACCTACGAAATCCATCACCTTTGGGCAGCTTTCCTCCTCTATTTACCTGCTCTTCACTGACTCTGATTTTGAGGCTGAGTCTACTGCACCCCTAAATTCCCAGCAGAGGTGAAAGCAAACTTTTGAGGCTGCCTTCAACCAAAGTCAGGAGAAAGGGAGGTATCCTTTCTACTATAGGGGGTTTCTTGAATATGTGTCAAGTTCTGCACTGATTGCACTCTAGCAAGAGGATCTGAGCTAACAGTTTTAGGTGGTTTTATGAAAGTCACATTGAAAGTAAGTATTTTTCCCCATGGTAACTTAAATGTTGGCTTGATAAGGCAAACTTACATTTAACATGACAACTGACAATAAATTGTTGACTATACAGAAGTAAGAAAACAACAGGAACAGGCAGTGTTGTTTCAAAACTCCTTACTCCTGAATACCAAATTTATTCCTAAGTAAATGCTTTACATCCATTTCATTAATATTTTCCCCAAGGTCAAGTAAATCTCAGCCTTAGTCCTGTCTTCACAAAGTCTAAAGAAATTAGGCAACAGAGCTCACCAATAAGCTGCAACATGACAACCTTTAACTTAGTTAAGCAAGACCTGAATACTATTGGGCATTTACATTTATTTAAAGGCTAACCTAATGAGTTTTGATACACTTTAAACTTCAAATGCAAACTCTTTTTTATCCAGCACGAACTGTCCCTAATTTTGCATCCTCAACACACAGAGAAATAGCTCGGAGCTTCTCTACTGAGCTCAGTGGAAGCAAAATTTGCTTTACATTCTTTACTAATATAAAAATAAGGTCCATATGAAATCAGCATTAATGCAAAAAAAAAAAAAAAAAAAAAAGAAAAAAAACCAGTTTTTTC